GATATCAGCATATAGGATAGATCTTGGGTACAGAAGATAAATATTTACATATTGAAAAATGTAAAATGGGTAAAATGTATCTACAGCTTCCACTAAAGTCCCTAACCCCAAGAAGCTATCCATAAAGACAAGCTGATGTTAATAATTCTTGTGACAATTTTCACTCAATCCACCCTTGTCTCCATGTATAGACCCAAGGAACTTACCCCAAAAGCAGAAGAAAGATGAGAAACCAGGAATCATATTGGCCCCACAGTCTGTTCTGAGGACCTTTCTTTAATTTCAGCCACAAGAGGGATGGCTACACAAGTAGGCAGTAATATGTTTGCTCAAGCCCGTGTCTTCCTTCCTCTCATGTGACCTACAGGTTTTGTGTCGCAACTATGCTCAGGATATGAGAAACCATAAAACGCTCTGTAGGTCTGAATTCACTTAAAATCTTAATCAAAACAAGGCCTTCAATTCTAACACATTCCAATAAGCTGGAAATTCCTAAAGCCATATTAAATGCTATTTATTTATCTATTTTTGAGAGAGAATCTCACTCTGTTACCCTGGATAGAGTGCTATGGTGTCATAGCTCACGGCGACCACAAACTCCTGGGTTTGAGCGATCCGCTACCTCAGCTTCATGAGCAACTGTGACTGCTACAACGTCCAACTAGTGTTTCTATTTTTAGCAGAGACATGGTCTCGCTCTTGCTCAGGCTGGTCTCCAACTCCTGAGCTCAAGTGATCCACCAGGCTCAGCCTCCCAGAATGTTGGGATTACAGGCATGAGCCACTGTGCCCAGCCTATAAAATGCTATTTAAAATGTATTAGTAGGCCAGCCTGTTATCCCAGCACTCTGGGAGACTGAGGCGGGCAGATCGCTTGAGCTCAGGAATTGAGACCAGCCTGAGCTACAACGAGACCCCGTCTATAAAAAATAGCTGGCGTTGTGGCAGGCTACTTGGGAGGCTGAGGCAAGAGAACTGCTTGAGCCCAAGAGTTTGAGGTTGCTGTGAACTATGACATCATGGCACTCTACCAGAGGTGACAAAGTGAGACTCTGTCTCAAAAAAAAAAAAATGTATTGGTAATGATAATTAGGATAACAATATAGAAGATAATGCATAAAATGTGACAGAGCATATATATATACACACATATATATGTGTGTGTATATATTTATTTATCAGTATTTTTTCCTTATTCCTAGAGGGTGATGAGCCTCTCTGACTCTTATGGGCAGATTGGCCCCGAACTGGGGCTTTTCTCCACTTACTTGGCTACTCTTCCAACCTGAGCCCTCCAATAATTTCAGTCCTAACTGGGGGACTTGATCTATTTTGTACTCTCAGAAAATGTGTGAAAATCCACTCAACAGTTATGGAGTTGTTGGCCAGGAGTAGTTTAGGTGGACTCAGGGAGAATCACCAATGGACACTAAATGCCAGTAGGACGTCTCCCTTGCTCTGCCTGTTACATGGGCAGGTGCAGAGTGAGGACGAGCTGGGAATGCCTGGTGGTCACTAGACAGAACCTATAATCTATTTCATTTCTGCACCAATATCTCAGCTATTCGTTAATCATCACACAATCCCTGACACATTCAAATTAACCTAAGTATGGGAATGAATATTTCTCCACAATCTGTTCCAAATGAAAAGTATTTAATAGAGAAATCTGCAGCTAGAAGAATACGGTCAAGGAATATTTAATGCCACTGCTAATCACCTCGCTGGAC